ACTTTTTCCTTTCCAAAATGGATGCCTTTCATTTCACTGTCTTGCCTAATTGTCCTGGCTGGAACCTCCAGTACAATATTGAATAGCAGTGGTGAAAGTGGGCATCCTTGATCATTCCTGACCTTAGGGAGGAAGCATCCAGTGCTTCACCATTAAGAGTGACATTAGCTTTGGGTTTTTTACAGATGCTTTTTATCAGGTAGAGGAAGTTCCCTTCTATTCTTTCTTTGTTGAGTGTTTTTATCATGACATGCTGTTGGATTTTTGTCAAGGCTTTTCCCGCATCTATTGAGATGATCATGTGATTTTTGTTTTTTATTCTATTGATATGATGTAATACATTAATTGATTTTAGGCTGTTAAACCAACTTTACATTCCTGGGATAAATCCCACTTGTTTATAGTGTATAATTCTTTTTATATGTAGCTGCATTTGGTTTGCTAGTACTTTGTTAAGGATTTTTGCTTCCATTTTCATGAGATATTGGTCTTCAGTTCTCTTATGTTATTTCTGTCTGGTTTTGGTATCGGTAATGCCAGCCTCATAAAATGAGCTGAGAAGTGGTTCCTCCTCTTCTGGGTTTTTTTTTTTTGGAATAGTTTGTAAAAATGTATCATTAATTATTCTTGAAATGTTTGGTATAATTTACTGGTGAAACTGTCTGGTCCTCTAGTGGATAGGGTCTGGGATCTTCATGGTGGGTAGTTTGTTTTTTTTTTTACTAATTAACGCTTATCACTTGTTACAGTTATATTCAGATTGACTCTTCTTGAGTCAATTCTGGTGCTAGATCTAGGAATTTGTCCCCATTTCAAGTTACATAGTTATTTGGAATAGAACTACCATTTTTCTTTTTGTTTTTTGTGTCTTTTATTGTTGTATTCCTCCTTTACTACTTGCTTTCGCATTAAGTATTTTCTAATGAAGCATTTAAATTTCTTTAATAATTTTTCCACTATAATTTAAAAGATTTTTTTCAGTGCTTACTCTAAGGTTTACCATATAATCCTGATTTATCTAAATCAGCTTCAGATTTATACTAACTTAATTCCAGTGATATATAGAAATGTTATACCGATATAGCTCCATTCCCTTCCCCTTTTTGCAGTAGTGTTATATATATTTTATCTAATAAAGTTACAAATCTGGCAATACATTGTTATAGTTATTACTTTACCATCTGTAGCCATTTCTTTAGTCTATTACAGCTTTCCTCCCAACCCTTCCTTTGTGCTGTTATTGGCAAGTTCAATACAAAATATATTGCATTTCTGTTATAGTCCCAACAGTATACTGTAACATACTTTATATAACTGCTTTTAGCCCTGGCTGGCATAGCTCAGTGGATTGAGCGCGGGCTGGGAACCAAAGTGTCCCAGGTTCGATTCCCAGCCAGGGTACATTCCTGGGTTGCAGGCCATAACCCCCAGCAACCACACATTGATGTTTCTCTCTGTCTCTCTTTCTCCCTGCCTTCCCTCTCTAAAAATAAATAAATAAAATCTTTAAAAAAAAAAAACCTGCTTTTTAAATCAGTTAAGAAAGGAAAAAATGTGTATTTATACTTTTATAATTATATAGTTACCTTTATTGGTGCTCTTTGTTGTTTTTTCTTTTTAATGTGGATTTAAATTACTACCTGAGGTCACTTGCTTTTAGCCTGAAGAACTTCCTTTAGTATTTCTTGTAAGGTGAATCTTTAAGCATTAAATTCTCTCTGTTTTTGTTTACATGGTAAGTCACCTTCATTTTGAAATGTCCTTACTATTTATAGCTAGCTGTGCTGGATATAGGATTCTCAGTTGGCAAGTTTTTTTTGAGCACTTTAAATATGTTCTACTGTGAGGTCAGCTGTTAATCTTATTAGGGTTCCCTTGTAAGTGCAAAGTCATTTTTCTCTTGGGCTTTCAAGGTTTTCTCCTTGTCTTTGACTTTTAGCATTTTTACTATAATGTGTCTGTGAATCTCTTTGTGTTTATCCTCCTTGGAGTTCACTGAGCTTCCTGAATATATAGGTCATTGTTTTTCAAAAAGTTAGAAAGGGTTAGCCGTTATACTTTTAAAATATTTTTTTCTCCTCTGCTGGTATTTCTGTTACACTTATGTTCATGCACTTAACAATCTATCCCATTTATCTGCTGCTGTGTACATTTTTGTTCATTCTTTTTTTGTCTGCTCTCCAGCTTACATAATTTCTACCCCATCTATCTTCAAGCACATTAATTCTTCTGCCAGTTCAAATCTACTTTGAGCCTCTCTAGTGAGTTTTTTTATTTCAGTCATTGTATACTTTCCAGCTCCAGAATTTTAATTTGGTTCTTTTAAATAATTTCTCTTTATTGATAATCCCTATTCGATATAAAAATATCATCATACCTTCCATTTATTTCATTAATCGTGCTTTTCTTTAGTTCTGTGAACATATTTATAATGGCTTCTTTAAAACTTTGTCATTAAATCTGGCATCTGGTCACTCTCAAGCAATATCTGTTGCTAGCTTTTTCCATTGTATGGGTCATACTTCCCTATTTCTTTGCATACCTTATTATTTTTTGGTGGAAACTAGATGTTTTAGGTAATATAGCAACTCTGGGGACTGGTGACCCCTTCTCCAGAGCTTGTTGTTATTTGCTTATTTATTTGTTTAGAGACTGGCTGCATTGTTTTAGTGAAATCTATCTCCCTCACATAGTGTGGCCTATGATGGTGCTTCTCAGGGAGATGCATCTTTGAGTATGCCTGAAGGTTTTAGTCGGGCTCTCTTTCTCTTATTACATCCAGCTGTTAAACGCCACTAATTGTGGTATATTGTTCCTTTATTTTCAACAACACTCCAGCCCTAGCTGGTGTGGCTCGTTGGATTATGTACCAGCCTATGGATGGAAAGGTTGTTAGTTCGAGTCCTAGTCAGGGCACATGCCCGGGTTGCAGGCCAGGTCCCCAGCTGGGGGCATGCAAGAGGCAATCAATCACTGTTTCTCTTGTACAATATTTTTTCTTTCCTCTCCCTTTTCTACCTCTTTTCCCCATCTCTAAAAATAAATTATATATATATATAATATATATATATATAATATATATATAAAATGCTCTGGAACATAACTTACTCTGTAAAGTAATCCAGTCCAAATGTGGCTTTTGCCCTGGATGGTGTAGCTTGGTGGACTGAGCATGGGCCTGGGAACCAAAGGGTCGTTGTACCAGATACGTTGAGCCAGGTACCCAGTGGGGGGTACGTGAGAGGGAACCACATATTAATGTTTCTCTCCCTCTCTTTCTCTTTCCCTTATCCTCTCTCTAAAAATACATAAATAAAATCTTAAGAAAAAAAGGTGGCTCTTTGAGGGATCAGTTTCTGAGATCTGTGTTTGATATTTGTTCTGACCCCCCACAGGACTAGCTGGCTAATAGTCTAGTCTGTATATGCAGCCCAGAAATTGCCTTTCACCAACACCTCTATTGTTCTCGAGTACCCCCTAGGCATAAACTTCTCCATACTGTGTTGCAAATGAAGTCACTACTTGAGTAGAGATTAGAGGCTAAGGGTTTTAAAGCCTGCTTCTTTCTCTAGGCAGAATCTCTGAGCTCTTGGTGGAAGTGGGGAGGGGGCACATACCAGCCTGGGGTCTTAGTTTACCTCTTCTGGCTGGAACCACCATCTCACAAGCTGAGTGTGGGCCGAGAGTAATGGGGGCCCAGCCTTGTCCGTATGCTGCCCACAGCACAGCCCTCATTCCATAAGGAAGAAGTCCCATCTTTCAACTATCACTTAGTCTCAGCAACAAGTAGCCTTGGGCAGGATGAAAAGCACTGAAGTCCTCCTCCTCCTGGTAAGAAAGCCTTCTGACTATGAGCTAAGGGGAGAGAGAGCCCTGTGTTCTGAGAATCCCCACCTTGCTAAGGGTGGTAGAGGTCTTGGTTCAAGTGCCGAAGATTTTCACCTTCCTTACTGAATTTTCATGTATTTCCTTGAATAGAGGTTTCTTCGCTTAATGTTTGCCCTTAGCACCATTTCCAGAGGTTATTGTTTTGTTTTTAATTTTTACCAGTTTTACAGAGAACCAGGTTAGTGGAGATCCTCACACTGTCATGCTGGAAGTTAATCCTGTCTATAGCTGCTTTTGTGCTACAGAGTAGAGCTGAGGAGTTGAGTAGTTGCAACTGAGACTTTATGGCCTACAAAACTAAAAATATTTATTATGTGGCCCTTTACACAGCAAGTTTGCCAACCCCTAACTTAGGTGGCTGCTGCCAATGCTGCTGGTCCACACACCACACTTTGAGTAGCAAAGGCTTAAATTACTTGAGACAGTACTGTACTGGCTAAAAGCTTGATTCAAAAGCTCACCTCACCACTGACCACATATATGGTTTGGGGTACCTACCTCATTAGATTATTGTAAGAATTAAATGTATGAATGTCTGCCACTTTTAAAGTATTAAACAAATGATAACTGTTATAATCATCGCACAAACTTTATGGAAAATTTAAGTATTATAAAACACCATCTCTTTCCTCAAAGAGTTTTCTCCAGAAAAGTGAAGTTTTGGAAAAGGAAAACAAGTACAGCTTTTCCAATAAAACGAGATGCGTTTTAATACCGGGGGCACATTATAATAAAGTAAATATCTAATAAAGTAAAAATTCTATAGAGCTGGAGCTTAAGTCTGACACTGAAAACTAGATTTTGCTACCACCGACGTTTCTAGCCTCTTGCAGTATGAATGAAAAATTTCTGGAAGTGTTTCCAAATCCAAAAGCCCTATTGAACAAGGCAGCAACTTATCTTTAACATAAGGACTTGGGCCTAGATGGCTCCTTCCGGTTCTTGCCATCTCTATACCCAGAGATGATGAAACCAGAATCCCTCGAGTTTCCACCTCCACCGTCACCCTGGTAGGGGGGCCCCGGTTGGTGCCGCACTAGGGCCCGAGGAGCGGGAATTCCGCTAAGCTCCCACCACACTGCAGCCCGTCGGGGCTGCCGGCCGATGATTACCTCGCAATTAAACTCCATCTCGGCGTCCATGGTAACGATCCGCACGGTAAACGTCTTGGGCTGCTTCCTCTTGAGGGAGCTGAAGCTCATGCGGGAAGCGATGGCCCCGGCCATGGTGCGGGGCTCAGGCCCGGGACCCTCGCTTCCCGAGGCCTGTGCTCTGGGACTGTTAGCCCCCCTGGAGGAGCTGCACAGGCCTCAGGGCCACCATGGTGCCCGGCCGGCCGGCCCGAAAACTGTCTGGACGGCGCGGGCCCCCAGCGGCCAGCATGGGCCGCGAGGACCCTGTCCCTGGAGCGGAAAAGGAGAGTTGCGGGGCAGGCCTTGACGGCCGTGGGGAGGATTCGAGAGTGGGGACCGATGGGGTGGAACCGGCTCGGCGCTCTGGGACTCCGGCCGGGGACACTGGGGTCACCTGAGGACGAGGCCCCTAGACGGCTGCGGCCCAGATTCCGCGCGCCTCTCAGCAACTGATGGAGGTCTCAGGGACGCGCTGCAGCCAGGCGCGCACGTGCGCGCGTGGCTGTCACCGTCCCCGCTCCGCGCGCCGGCGGAAAGCGTCCCCTCCCCGCAGCCCCCGACCTGCTCTCCGCCCCGCCCTCAGGGCCGATTACTACTCACAAAGCAACCTAACTGCGGCTATCTCTCGGGCGCAGCGATTGGCTTAGATCTCCAAGGAAGGCGAAACTTTCACTCTCCGTCCGCCTTCTCCCTGACTACTCCACCAATTGGAAGTTTGGCTCTAAGAGGAGGCGCGTGCCTGGGCTCGGTGTTGACTGGCTATGGAGGCAGTCGCTCCGAACGCTTTTGTTCGTAGGGGTACGCCTACTCTAGCAAGACTGGTTGACGCGGCGGATTCCGACGCGCCTTTCCTGGGAAACCACGTAGAGACTAGCCCCAGGGCCCTCGAGTGGGTTTCCTCCCAGGTCCTTTCGGACCTGGTCCTTCGGAGCAAATACGCGGAGTATGACGCTCCAGGGGATCCCGTTTAGGGCATCCTGCGGATAATTCTTTTTGGTGCTTAATAATTACATATACCGACCACTGTTTCTCAAACTTTTAAATCACTTGTGGAGGCCACTTAAGTTGCCGGCGTTCTCCCACAGATCCTTCTGCTTCTCTTTAGGAGAAATGGTAGTTGTTACCGAGGAGCGGGTAATGATTGTACTTACTTCGTGGGTTTGTTGAGGAATTTAAGCGAGTTAATATAAAGCTTTAGAACGGTGGCTGGCACTTACTAGGTTGAATCCTATGCAGCGGCTGTTTTTGTAGGTGCAAAATGGTAAAAAATGAAAGCATTTCTCACTTTGTACTCTATGATTTCTATTTACGAACTACATACGTGAAGTGTTTATTTTTTAAATGTCATATAAGGTTATAATGGGGGGTGTGAGGTAGGGGAGCATAACTGTATTTAAAGAATAAATCCTATTTTTAAGTAGCTGTATGGGCTGAACAGAGACAATTTCCTGTGTTTCAGCTGAGCAGTAAGCACTCCATAAATATTAACCATCACCTCTCCTCTACGAGGAGGAAACAGGCTCAGCATGACAGAGCACCAGGCAACTATCATCCAGCTAGTGAAAGGTGAAGCTGATAGTCCAGGTCTACCCCATACAGAGCCTGCTGGTATTAACTGCACTGCACTGCTTCTCTGGTTGTGACTGCCAAATTGCTCCTGTTGTAGCCCCAAGAACCATGAACTGCAGTTCTGCAGCATTTAGCAGACACTGTTGCTAAAACTATGCTAGTAGTGTAAATCTAGCTCTTGTCTATGGGCCCCTTAGGGCCCCCTGCTGTGACAGGAAGCATCAACTAGACCCTAGGCATCATTTGCTGGCACACCCAGAGAGGCGGCTGTTGGGGAATTTTACCTCCTGTCTAGTGCTAGCGAATTCACCCCACCAAACTGATTGTTCAAGAAAAATGGTCCTGGATGTGGGAGTGTCTTCTTTTTCATTGCTTCTGTTCTTCCCTGTAAGTGGGAGAACCAGGCTGGAATCTCCCATGGGCTTCCCAGAGGGGCAACGAGTCAAGGCCTTAACCTAGGGGCTAAGACTGCTAACAGAAAGTAAGAGACTCTGGGAATCCATTGAGGAGTGGCAAGTGGAGACAGAATACACTGCAGCAGCTAAAAAGGACATTGATGGCCAGTAATAGCTCATTTTTATGGAAGGCTTACTAGGTGCTAGGCACTGGGCTAATTGGCCAAACAAACTGAATGTAAAAGTGCCTAGGGAGACATCCAGGTAGATATGAGTCTGGATCTCAGAAGGGAGGCTCTGGCCATGCATAAAAATAGATGTGAGGGAATATTATGCTGGCATTAAAAGTGCCATTCACAAAGAATAAACAAATGATAATAGTACCTACCAGAGAAGGATTTGAGAACAATTCAGTTAGAGCTCATTAAAAAGATCTGGCACACAGACACCAGTTAATAACTATATGTTGAATGAATAAAGAACATGGGGAAATACCATGGGAACAATATTAATAGCTACCACATAAGGCACTCTACAAAGTGCTTTGCATGCTTTCTCTTTTCTTAAATATATTTTATTGATTATGCTATTACAGTTGTCCCATTTTCCCCCCTTCACTCCCCTCCACCCTATACACCCTCTCCCACCCATATCCCCCCCTTTAGTTCATGTCCATGTGTCATACTTATGAGTTCTTTAGCTTCTACATTTCCCATACTATTCTTACCCTCCCCCTATCTATTTTCAACCTACATTCTATGCTACTTATTCTCTGTACCTTTTCCCCCTCTCTCCTCCTCCCACTTCCCTGTTGCTAACCCTCCATGTGATCTCCATTTCTGTGGTTCTGTTCCTGTTCTAGTTGTTTGCTTAGTTTCTTTTGGTTTTGCTTTAGGTGTGGTTGTTCATAATTGTGAGTTTGCTGTCCTTTTACTATACATGTTTTTTCTTTATCTTCTTTTCTTAGATAAGTCCCTTTAACATTTCATAAAATAAGGGCTTGGTGGTAATGAACTCCTTTAACTTGACCTTATCTGAGAAGCACTTTATCTGCCCTTCCCTTCTAAATGAAAGCTTTGCTGGATAGAGTAATCTGGGATATAGGTCCTTGTCTTTCATGACTTAAAATACCTCTTTCCAGCCCCTTCTTGCCTGTAAGATCTCTTTGGAGAAATCAGCTGACAGTCTGATGGGAACTCCTTTGTAGGTTACTGTCCCCTTATCTCTTGCTGCTTCTAGGGTTCTCTCCTTCATTTTTACCTTGGCTAATGTAATTATGATGTACCTTGGTGTGTCCAACTTCTTGGGTCCAACTTCTTTGGGGCTCTCTGTGTTTCCTGGATTTCTTTGAAGTCTATTCCCTTTGCAAGATTGGGGAAGTTCTCCTTTATTATTTGTTCAAATAATGTTGCTCCACTTGTTGCTCTACCTCTTCCCCTTCTGGTACCCCTATAATTCGGATGTTGGAACGTTTAAAAATGTCCTGGAGGCTCCAAGCTTCTCCTCGTTTTTTTGAATTCTTATTTCTTCATGTTTTCCTGCTTGGTTGTTTTTTGCTTCCTTCTGGTCCACTCTATTGTTTTGAGACCCAGTTTCTTTTCCATCGCTATTGGCTCTCCGTGCATCTTCTTTCATCTCTTTTATGGTAACCTGCATTTTTTCATCTAATTTGCGCCCAAAATCAACCAATTCTGTGAGCTTCCTGATAACCAGTGTTTTGAACTGTGTATCTGATAGATTGGCTATTTCTTGGTCGCTCAAAAGGATGAGTCCTGGGGGACTGATCTGTTTTTCTGTTGGAGACATGTCTTCCTGTGTCTTTTTTTTTTCCCCTGTCTGGTTGCTCTTGTTACGGTGAGGGGCGGAGCCTTAGGTGTTTATCTGGGCTGGGCACCCCAGTCGCTAGATTGTGACGTTGTATGTGGGGATGGGAGCGGGGGCGGGAGGGAACGATGGTGGTAGCTCCGTTCTCCTGGGATCACAGTCCCTTCTCTGGGATCCTGGGTTGCGTGCTCTGCCCTGGTCCACAATCGCTGCTTCACTGGGTCCGCCAGCCGCTGCTTGCGTACTCAGGGTCCACCGCTGCGATCTTGCGCACCCCGGATGGCTTACGCGCCGAATTCGCGCCAAGTTCTCCCCAATCACTGCGTGCCGCCGCTGCCGACCCGCGCCCGCTCCTCCTACTGGTCTGGATGAACGGGTCTACTTCAACTTCTTGGCTGTCCCACTTCCATTCAGATAAATTCTCTATCAGTTCTGGGTGTTATTCTGGCTCTAAATTGTTGTTGTTCTAATCTTGGTTGTGCGTGGAGGTACGGTGCGTCCACCTATGCCTCCATCTTGCCGGAAGTCCGCATGCTTTCTTTTGATCTTTATTAAAACCCTATTTGGTAGGTATTATATCCCTAGATTACACATGAGAAAATTGGCTAAGACTGAAATGAGGTAATTTACCCAAGATCATAACTGGTAGTGTAAGAGGGTACAGCCAGGGGGCCCCAAAAGAAGGATTTGTAATGGAGTCCAGAACTCAGGGTGTCCAGGAAATATTAAAAATATGGGATGTCCTGACCCTCACAAGTCGAACTAGGGGATGGGACACATGGAGCAGGGCCACTGAGTTGTTTTGAATAGCAATGGTTTTGCAGATAACCTCTAGAATGGTCATTTAACATATCTATAACCTTTAACTGGTTGCATAGATATGTTAAATAGCTGTGGCCTTGCTTTGAGCCAGGGAGAAGGGAATAACTTCCACCCAGGATGTAACTGGGAGGCAACACCCCCTGGTTACAGAGCCTGTGTGAGAGCTTGGAGATGATTGGCTCCACACCACAGAGCCACACATGCTCAGATTTACTATGGCAGCCTAGAAAAACTGGAAAAATATGGGAATGCTGGTGAGCGTAGCCAATTGTGGGAGGAGTCAGAAATGGGGCTGCAGAGGAAGATTGGAACTGGGATTTAAACCCAGGCATGGGAGCTATGACAAAAATCACCACGCGGCTTTGGGTCTCCCTTTGCCATGCAGCTTAGGAATCCAGAAAGCAAGATGTAGCAGCGATGCAGAATTCTCTCTTAGCAGTTCGGAAGAAAATAGGAGAACCTCTGCGGGAAGGAAAGAGGTGAAAGGACTCTTGCTGGTGGGCCATGAGAAGGTGCCATGTGGTTTTGGAATAAGAACTGGAGATCCCGGCGACACAGGTGGTGGTGCTGGGAACCAAGGGAGGCCTGCCAGCTGAGCATGGATTACTGAGAAGAGCCAGGGGCTACCCAAGCCATGGACTTCTATTTCCTTTCCTAAGATACAGTACCCCAGACTGGGCAAAGGGGGGAAGGAAGGACTGTGTGTGTTTGTGGTTGTTTTAAGGGACTTTGGGATTTTAAAGAAGACATTAAGTCATTACTCTTAAGCCTGTATAACTTTTTTTTAAAGATTTTATTTATTTATTTTAGAGAGATGGGGAAGGGAGGGAAAAAGAGAGGGAGTGAAACATCAGTGTGTGGTTGCCTCTAGCACACCCCATACTGGGGATATGGCCTGCAACCCAGGCATGTGCCCTGACTGGGAATCAAACAGGGGATGCTTTGGTTCATAGGCCTGTGCTCAATCCACTGATCTACA